CCACGGCGCACACCACCATCTGGACGCACAGCTTCTGGGTCATGATGAGGGTGTAGTGCAGTGGGTGGCAGATGGCCACATAGCGGTCGTATGCCATGATTGCCAAGAGAAAACAGTCAGCGCCGCCAAGGGTGAGAAAAAAGAACATTTGGGCCCCACAGCCAGCCAGTGGAATGGGCTTCCGGGCTCCCAAAATGTTAGAAAGCATCAAAGGCACCACTACCGAGGTGTAGCAGATTTCCAGGGAAGACAGGTTGCACAGGAAGAAGTACATCGCGGTGCGGAGCGAGCTGTGTGTGCACACCACCCAGACGATGGCTGTGTTGCCACAGAGGATCATCAAGTAGAGGAGGAGGAAGAGGAGGAAGAGGAGGGCCTGGAATTCAGGGACCGTGGTGAACACGCGGAACACGAACTCAGTGGGGCCAGACTGGTTGAGGACAGGGCTTCTAGCAAACATGTCTCCTGCAAAGGATGAGCAGAAAGTGCTGAATCTTCCTTTGCCGAATTGCTTTATTGCCTGAGTAAAATAAAGGATGGCAAGTTTTGTTTCGTGCAAAAATAATAACTTAGTTACTCAAATATTCTCGTTTGTTAAAAAATTAAAATAAAAATTAAGTGTTGGGTATTTTGTCATATAAAAGTCAAGAGAAGTAAAACACTGCCGTGTCTAAATAATTATTTCAAATATTGTTTTATAAAGAATGGAAGTTTCAGATCTACTTCTTAAGAAGTTCATTATGAAAAATAAGTTTTAATAGTAATCCAGATCTAAAACCTCTCGACTGATATAAAAAATATAAGAAATGGATAAGAGAAAGGAGAGAGAGGTAAAACTGTGCTAATTTTCTCAAACCGTATAAAGAATGACTCAGTATAAACCACATTATTATTTAGATGTGGATGATTAGAGAAAAGTTTATTCTTTATATATTTTTTAACAATTTAGTATTAGTCACCCTAATATTAACCACAAAAAGAATGTATTTTTCCAGATATATGTAATATAAACATATATATCTTTCCCCAAAATTAAAGAGAAAAATGAAAGAAGGAAGCTATCATTCAAAAGAAAAAGAAGAACGAAATGGATGCAGAATCCCATAGAACAAAAATCTTTTAAGAAATGTGGTCCATGAGAGACTATGGACTCTGAGAAACAAACAGGGTTTTAGAGGGGAGGAGGGTGGGGGTATTGGTTAGCCCAGTGATGGGTATTAAGGAGGGCACATACTGCATGGAGCACTGGGTGTTATATGAAATCAATGGATCGTGGATCACCACATCAAAAACTAATGATGTATTGTATGGTGACTAACATAACATAATAAAATTAAAAAAAAAAGAAATGTGGTCAGAAGCAGAATGATACATTATCAATTAGGACAATAAATACAGATGGGCATATATACTGTATTAAGACATAAAGATGTTCAGATTAAGTTAGGAAACAAAATATTTTTAAAAGAAGAGAGGCAAAAATATAGTGTCATATAAAAACTACCACTCTTTTTATCTGAAAGTTTTCTGTAAATTTTAAAATATGAAATAAACCATGATCCCCAACCAAAAGAGATGACAAGCATTTGATTGTCTCTATAAAAACCCCAAGGCGGCCAACTGAGAAGTAGTTAGAACTGATAAGAAAATGTCTTAAGATGGCCAATAGTTAACTGATTTGTACTTAACCACCTTGATCTCCTTTTCCTCTATAAAATATTGTGTAGGTTGTTCACAGCCTACTGAATTAATTCTAGACAAGCAGTCTTCATTTCCATACCCCTGAGTATTTACACTCCCTCCAGTTGAGGTTTTTGCTTATCAAGTCCATTGTTTTTGTTTCCAACCGTGAATAAGCCAAGTACACTTATTATTATTCAAGTTAATAGAATAGTGTATGAAATGTTGAACTATGAATGCAAAAAAGAATTTTTCAGTGAATGAAATCATATGGTATTTGTCTTTCTCTGACTGACTTATTTTGCTTAGCCTGATGCCATCTAGTTCAATCCACATTATTGCAATTGGCAAGATTTCATTCTTTTTTTTTTTTTTTTCTGAGCAGGGAGCCCAATGTGGGGCTCCATCTCAGGACCCTGAGATCATGACCTGAGTTGAAGGCAGCCGCTTAACTGACTGAGCCACCCAGGGGCCCCAAGATTTCATTCTTTTTGATGGCTAAGTAATATTCCATTTTGTGTGTGTGTGTGTGTGTGTGTGTGTGTGTGTGTGTGTGTGTATACCATATCTTTTATATCCAGTCATCAAGGCAAATCAGTTGTAATGTTTTGGAAATATTTGAGAAAAGTGAGTTGCAAATGAGTAATTACTGATGAATTAGTGAAAATGGGCAGAATTACTGCATAAGTTAGAGGGTAATATTAAAAATGATCTGTGTATAAGCATTCATGAAACATTTATTATTTGACCATAATTATGAGAAATAAAAGAAAAATGAGGGGCACCTGGGTGACTCAGTAGGTTAAGCATCTGCCTTTGGCTCAGGTCATGATCCCAGGGTGCTGGGATCAAGTTCTGCATCAGGCTCCCTGCTCGGCAGGGAGTCTGCTTCTGCCTCTCCCCTTACCCTCCTCCTGCTCGTGCTCTCTCTCTCTCTCTCAAATAAATAAATAAAATCTTATAAAAAATGATCTGTGTCCTTAATCATGCAAGGGAGACCTGATGTTTAACAGAATTTAGGAAAAACTCTTCTAAATGAGGGTTTCCTATGTAATCTTTCTAGAATACCAGAGCTATAAAATGCTCCTCCTCCCAGATAGAAAGATAGATACATGCATACAAACAAACATGTGTACATTTATAAATAAATGGATTAATAGATACATGGATGCATATGTACATATTCAAGCACATTTGGGAAAAACTAAATATTCTCTTTGTGATCCACAATGAAGATAAGTATTAAAAGGACTTTAGAATCCTGATATGAATATGTATAAATTTAACTTTTCAGGGGTGCCTGGGTGGCTCAGTTGGTTAAGCGTCTGCCTTTGGCTCAGGTCCTGATCCTAGGGTCCTGAATCCTGGGATCGAGCCCCATGTCGGGCTCTCTGCTCAGCCGGGAGCCTGCTTCTCCTTCTCCCTCTGCCTGCCACTCCCCCTGCTTGTGCTCTCTCCCTCTCTGTCAAATAAATAAAATAAAATCTTTAAAAAAATTTAACTTTCCAAAACTTATTTCTCTGGTGTTTCATGAAAGCTTCTTTAGGTGCCTTGGAAGCATAGTCAAACATAATAATAATAATAATGACTTGTACCATAGTGTGAAGGCACTCTTCTAAATTCTCTGCATGTGTTAATTCAGATGCACCTCACAATGACACCATGAGGCAGGTAATATGTTATACCTATTTTACAGATATAGAACCGAGGTCTCAAAAGATTAAATAGTCTAGATTAAACTGCTAGTCCGTGGTCGAGTTGTAATGTAAGCCCGAGCATTTTGGATCTAGAAAAGAAAGATCTAAGTTTGGGTCCTGGCTTTACCACTTCCTAGTTCCTACTTTCCTCCCTGTCTTTCCCTTCCTCCCTCCCTTCCTCTCGGTCTTTCTGCCTCCCTCCTTCCCCATCTCCTCTCTCTTTCTCTCATTCTTTTCTCTTAAAGTATAAAACACATTCCTAGCTCAAGGACTGTAACAAAAGAGGCTGAATTTGGTCTGTAGTCTAGTTTGCCTATCCTTGCTCTAAAGTATTATACACAGCAGGTTAAGATCAATTAGGGAAAAAACAGCCATTAGTTTTTACAAAGTAAAGTCTCTGAAGATGTTTCCTTACCTCTTTGCAATTCACTGCATTCCCTCAGCCAACAGATAACATTCATAAGGGCAAAATTTTTGTTTCTGCCTATAGATGATTAAGGCAGCTCTTCCAGAATGCTGCCTGACCCTCTGTATTCTGTTCTTTAAGGATGAAATGAAATAAGGATACATGGGATCCAGATGTGCATAATCCCCTAGAAATGAAAAGTGACTAGTAGGTGATGTCTTCATAGCATCTCAATGTACATGGGAAAGAGTATGCTGGTGTTCAGGAAGAGTCAGGTTTTAGAAAGCCATTCTTGGGATAGGACAAGATGAAGAGGAACCCAGGAAAGTAAAGATACTTTGGAATTATTCTAAGCCAGAGTCTTGCATGGAAGGACCAGAATCCTTTCCTGCACTCTTCTCCTTACTCAGAGGCTGTTCTTGCCTGATTTAGCCAGATAACTTAGTGCCTATAGGATATCTTAAGATAATGGCTCCCCAAGAGGAGGAATTTCCCCAGTGGCCTTTTTTAAACCAAATCTAACTAAAAAATACTGGGAGGAAATTTCCTGGGTTGATCAACTCTGACAAAGTTAACTTTTGGAGGGGAACCTGTGTGGCTCAGTCTTTAAGGACCTGCCTTCAGCTCAGGTCGTGATCCCGGGGTCCTGAGATCAAGTCCCACATCAGGCTCCCTGATAGGCCGGGAGCCTGCTTCTCCCTCTCGCACTCCCCCTGCTTGTGTTCCCTCTCTAGCTGTCTCTCTCTCTGTCAAATAAATAAATAGAATCTTAGAAAAAAAAGTTAACTTTTGGACAACTTTTCACATGATAATCATAGACAACTATCATCTGGGGACCACAGGGTTGTATCCTCATTCCTACCTATACCCAACCCATAAGAACCTATAGATAGGTATTCTGGCAAATTCAATCTATGGGAAATGTTCATGCCAGCTCAAGGGTCCCAGAAGGCATAGACGGCATTAAAATTACCCTTGCCTGGACAATGGGAATGTGAATTTTAGGCTGAGCTTTGTCACTGAAATGCTAAGTTACCTCAGGCAAATTTTAAAGATTTTTATATTTGAATTTCCTCATCTATATTATGAATGGTTGGATAGATGATGTTCATGGTCCCCTCTCTCCTCAAAACTCTACATTCTACTTCTCTCTCAAGGAATAGAGAACTTGTGGAAGAACTGTGTCCCACCTGTCACTTGTAGCTTTCTCATTTCCCCTGTCAATCATATCCTACTTCTCTCTGCTGAACCTGCCCTGTTCCTACTCATTTCTGTGATGATAATTAATTTGGATATCATATTTATAATGAGATATCATGTTTGTGCTTATGTTTATAATTTCATGCCCCAAGCAAGTGGGTGGCTTGACTTAGCTATTGTGTATTTGAACATCTTTGCCATGAGCCAGCATGTTATTTTGGCATTCCCCAACTAAGTCACTAGAGCACTTTTAGCCATCACAGGCAGGTTATAAGTCCAGTCATACCTTTGAGCAAAAGTATGTTAACATGGTATATAATTTCTATGTAGTTAAGAGTAGTGGAAGAAGATTTTTCTCATTACTTTCTTCTTAGATGTTAAAAGGATAATGAATGATGAAATTTCACTCAATCCATAAGGAAAAATATTGACTATGGAGTTGAAGATTATCTTCAATGGGTTCCAAATGCTCTAACC